ATGCCACATGAACTTTGTGCTAAGTGAAAGAAGCCGGGCACAAAAGAACACATTTCTATTTCCCTTAGCTGAGATGTACAGAACAATTAAATCTGGAGGTTGAAAACAAGTCTATGGTTCCCAGATTTTAGAGGAAGTAGAGAACACTCTTATAGAAATGATGAAGATCATCTAGAATGTTATCATTCTAGAGATAAGGCTATATAAATACTAAAACCCACCTAACCAACACTTTAAATGGGTAACAAGTGTTTTCAAATGGAGTTAACTACATACAGTAAGGCTCTCAATCTATGGTCCAGCCTAAGCAACCACTAGGAACTACTTAAAACAACCTTCTTCTTCTTCTTCTTCTTCTTCTTCTTCTTCTTCTTCTTCTTCTTCCTCCTCCTCCTCCTCCTCCTCCTCCTCCTCCTCCTCCTTCTTCTTCTTCTCTTCTTCCTCCTCCTCCTCCTCTTGCAATGATTATGGATATTTTGCCTACATGTATGCCTTTACCACTTGCATGCCAGAAGACGACAGAAGAGGGTGTCAGATCCTCTGGAGCTGGAGTTACAGGCGGTTGTGAGCCACCATGAAGATGCTGAGAACCAAACCTGAGTCTCCTGCAAGAGCAGCCAGTGTTCTTAAGCAATGGGCCGTCTCTCCAAAGTAACTGCCTGTGGCTCTAGCTACTGCAGGCTGAGGTGGGAGGAGCCAGGAGTCGAAGGCCAACCCAGACAACATAGTGGAGACCCAATCTTTTTTTTTTTTACCTTTAATGCAAATTCTCAGACCCTTCATCCAGACCCTCCAAAACATCAGTGTTGTAGGATGGTCAGATCCTCTGAGGAGTTCTGAGTTTGAGAAACAGTAGCACTGCCTCAGCCATGGGGACACTTAGCCCCAGAGCCCAGGGAAACCTCTCTGCCGGCCAGGGCTACAGTCCACCCCCAGGACCAGTTAACCACTCCCTTAATTGAAGTGTCTAATTAGTTAACCATCCAAATTAGTGTAAGGTTTTCAACTACTACATCTGTTCTTTTCCCTCCGGCATGATGGGCCATCTGTTTGGTTACAGTTCATTTTAAATACTTTTTGTCACATAATTAAATTGTAATGTTCTACTTTAAGAGAGAAATCAGAGACTTAGGGAAAGAAATAACATCAGCCCCCATCTTCTCTGTGGTGTTGACATATCCATCAGTCTGTGACGGTGTTTTGTCCTGATGGTGCATGGGAAGGGAAGGGCTGAGCACCAGGAGGGGCTCTTAGGGCTATTGATGTGGCTGTCCCTTGGGAGGCAAGAACTCTGTCACTGAACCATCAGTGTGGGATGTTCCTTGGGATGGGTATTTTTCTTATCACCCTGTGGCCTCACAGCCTTTGAAGATGATTTCTTGGTGGTTTAAGATGATTTCCCTCTTGCTGGGAAGGTGGAGACAGGCCCGAAGGCCAAGGAGCCTAGAGAAAATGGCACCCAGTTTCCAGTGAGAAACCCTGTCAGAATAAAGCAAGGTGGGGATTCCTGAGGAGTGATACTCAAGGTTAACTCCTGGCCTCCACATCTTGTGCGTGCATGCACACACACACACAAACCAACAAACAATGCGTAACCACATTATTTTCTGTTTCTTTTTAAGGAAATACTGGTTTCCACGCACTAAAGCGATTTTGTAATCCACCAGTATATGACACCCAACTGTTAAAAACCACAGCAGTAAAGACATGGTCCACTAGAGGATTGTTTCCTTGGAAACAAGTGGTGGGTGGTGATGCTAACTGCCTGGGTGGGGCCCAATGATGACAGATGTCAAAACAATATACAAAGCCTGTATCAGCAAAAGGATGAACACCTGGTGCAAGTTTGTGTCCGTGAAGCAGAAATGAATCCTTCCATGGTTTATGTCTGTCTACAGAGACGTGCCTGGGTATTTAGGTGGCGAGGGTCCCCATTCCCCCAAAGTGAATTCTTCTCCTGTGCATGGACTCTTAGAATACGTCAGCCTTCCTTGGCAGCGTGGATGGGTTGTGATGTAGTTGGCAAGAGGGGAGCCTAGAATTTGGGACAAACGGTGGGACAGAAACCATTCTCTGCCGAGCACACACAGTACACAGAGGCGCCTTAGGAAGCGCTAGCAGACTGATGTTTTTCCAGCTGCAGCATTTAGCTCAAGCTAACCACATTCTCTTTGCCCCTCGTAAGCAATTTGGGTTGGTTTGTTGTTATTTTGTTTTTGTAAGTAAACACACTTCAGTTATAATTATTTAGGAAATAAAAAAGTGCACATACAAGGGCTGGAGAGATGGCTCAATGGTTAAGAGCACGGTCTGTTCTTCCAAAGGACCAGGGTTCAACTCCCAGTACCCACATGGCAGCTCACAACCATCTGTGACCCCAATTCTAAGAGAGCTGACACCTTCACACTAACACACATAAAATAAAATTTTTAAAAAGAGCACATGCAAAAAGTGCACATACACAGCTCTGAAACTGATGAACTCCAACCTGCTCTGCAATTATAAAATACTGAGATATAATTCATATGCTACAAAATGACACATTTTTCCTTATATAGTCCCAGAACAGTGTGACCATCATCAATATATAATTCCAAAAAAAAAAGTATTTTTCATAAAAAAAAAAAATCACCCCAAATACTCATAAGTAAAGACTCTGTCCGGTCCTGTCTCCTCCCATCCAGCTCTCCTTCTGTATCTGGATTGTCCTCTCTCAGACGTTGCATCTGGATGGAGCCTACCACTGTGTGGCTTTTGTGTCTGGCTTTGCTCAGTGCCGTAGCCATTTCCACGCCCCTCCCTGCTGAGACATGCCTCAGTGTTTCAGTCCTTCTGGACTCACAGACCACATCTGGCTTATGCTTTCCTCCCTGGACTTTAGTTGAGCTGTTTCCATCTGGGGAGACCGTGTGAGCATTTGAGTCTTTATGACATTTTTCTTTATCTCTCTTGGGTGTATACAAAGGATTAAAATCCTGAGTCATGAGGCAATTCTGTTGAATTTCTTGGGGGAATTGTCAGACTGCTTTCTAAGAAGACTACATTTTGCATTCACGACACTAGTATGTGAGGGTTTGTACTTTTCCACATCTTTGGAGTTTTTTTTTTTCTTTTGCTATAGTATGTATACAGGTATGAAATCATTTTTAATTTATTTTCTTAACGACTAAAGAATATTATGTATGTATTTTTTATTTTGTATGTTCGGCATCTTAAAATAGACTTAATGACCATTTATGTGCGTAAAGGCCAGAGGTCAGCTTCAGGCATCATTTTTCAGGAGCCATCTGCCTTGTTTCTGAGACAGGTTCTGCTAGTCTGCTAGTTCCCTGCCCCAGGGATCCCCACAGGTCACTCTTCCTTCTGCATTCTTAGAACATAATCCTCACCTTTTTTTTTGGGGGGGGGGGGTGCTTGGGAGGAGTATGAGGTCCTAGGTTTTAAATGGTTCCCACTTCAGCACAGGCATTTACAGTTAGAAGTTTCCTTCTGAGACTGTCTCTACCACATCCTGTGAGTTTTGACATTTTATATTTTGTTTTCTGTTTCCTCCGGCATTTCCTAATTTCCCTTCTGATTTCTTCTCTGACCTGTCAGTTACTTAGGACTATGCTATGTGACTTCCACATATTTGCAAATCTTCCAGCCTTCCTCCCAATATTGAGTCCTAATTCCATTCCCTCTGAGGTTGGGAAGCACGCCCTGCCTGATGTCAGTCCTTCTAATCCCACTGGGTCTTATTTTATAGCCTCACACTCAGTCTATTCTAGGGAACTGTCTGTGTGTTCTTTAGAAGAATGTGTGTACTTCGTTTTTAAAATATTTGAGGGCCAGTGGGATGGCTCATAAGACAATGGCTCTTGCTATCAAGCCTGAGGACCTGAGTTCAGCCACCCAGACCCACATGGTAGAAGGAAAGAACCAACTCCCACAAGTTGTCCTCTGACCTGCACACACCAGCACTGTGACGTAAACTCCCATTCACCCACACAAAATACATACAGAAATACATATATAAGTATAATAAAGTATTTTATTTCTGTTGTATGTGTGTGTATATGTGATTGTAGATGTGCATGTGTTTATGGAGGTGAGAGAACAATTTTTTATAACTTGTTTATTTTTATTTTATGTACATTAGTTCTTTTCCTGCATGAACATCCATATAAGAGTGTCAGAGGCCCTGGAACTTGAGTTACAGACATTTATGAGCTGCCGTGTGGGTGCTGGGAATTGAACCTGGGAATTGAACCTGAAGAACAGCCAGTGCTCTTAACCGTTGAGCTATGTCTCCAGCCCCTAGAGGACAATCTTTAGGAGTCAGTTGTATGGTAAATTAGGGCTTTGACCACAGGGCCATCTTGTCGACCCCAACACATGCCCTTCTTGTAGGCACATACTGATGCTTCCCATCAGCTTTGGGGTCTTGGAGGTGAGTTCTCAATGTGCCTTCCAGCTCCTGCTCCCTCCTCCTATGTGCTGAGCTGCACGCCTGGTGCTCGCTACACTCCACATCACACCATTCCAGCAACAACCAAGACAAAGAGAATGTTCTCATGAACAGATGAAGACGCAAAGCGCTCAGCACCATGCTGGCCACACTCCCTGGGCCATTTTTATATTGTCACTGTTCTAGTGCTACCCTTCTCCTCAGAGGGACAAGCAGAATTGATGGGATTGCTCCAGGCTGTCTAATTCCAGAGCCCCTGCCCCTCTTCCTCCTCCCCCCTCCTCCCTGCCCAGTTCCCCTGGACCAGTATCATCCCTGCTCTTGCCTTACCTTCCAATTGCAGGTTACAATGGACTCAGGTTAGTCAGCCAACAAGTATTGAGTCCTCCTGCTACTTCCAAGTGACATGATGGAGGACAATTCTGTGGTCTCAGTTGCTTGGAGTTGCACCAAGTTTAACCTGAAAACAATAAACCAGGAGTGGAGTGGCAGCCATCTAACCCAGTGTCTTTCTTTCCCATCCCTTGCTCTACCCCACACCCCCTTGCAGAGACAAAAGGCGACAAGGCTAAGTGGGTGTTCACCTGGCCCCTCATCTTCCTCCTGTGTATCACCATCCCCAACTGCAGCAAGCCCCGCTGGGAGAAGTTCTTCATGGTCACCTTCATCACAGCCACGCTATGGATCGCCGTGTTCTCCTACCTCATGGTGTGGCTGGTGAGTGACAGGAGCCCCTGCCCAGCACAGTCCTCCAAGCTGCGGTCGCACCTGTGGGCAGGTCACTGGCCTTGCTGACCTCAGCTTCGTTCTCATCGGACAGTGGTATAAAGAGTGCCAAAGTGCTCCACTGTGTGTCCAAGAGTGGAGGTCATGTTTTGTTTCCTCTGATGCGGGAGCAGGCATTGGGAGGGGGGAAATGCAAGAGGCTGCTCTAGGAGCATGGACAGAGTAATGGAACACCAGTGCTGGGCCGCTCATTTCTAGGGTCCCCAGAAGAAGGTAAAGGAAGGAAATAGTATTAGTGAGAGGTAGCAAGGACCCTCTGTCAAAAAGCTGCCCCTTTCTGTGTGCCAGGCAGACAGGGACAATTTTATAGAAGCCCCATTTGGGCCTTATAACAGCCCGATGGGATAAATATTTTTACACCCCCATTTTACTGATAGAGAAACTAAGACATGGGGAGCCCATGATTGTGTGAATATCTGGGGCTAATGACAGAGTTGGAATCCAGTGCAGGTTTCCAGCTGTGGGCCTAGGAGCAACAAGAGGAGACCTGGCTACAATATGGCTGGATTCCGTTAACTGTGAAGCTCATCTGTCAGGTGCATGCACCTCATTAAGTCATTTCCTTTTCCCCCCTTATAAGGAGGCCAGCAGCAGGGAAGGTGAACAGGGCTTTACTGGATAGCCAGTGGGGCCAGGAGAAATTCTCTGTGGGTTCAAGGCCCCTTACCCTTTGTCCTAGAGCAGTGGTTCTCAACATTCGTAATGCTGTGACCTTTAATACAGTTCCTCATGTTGTGGTGACACCTCCCGAACCATAAAATTATTTTTGTTGTTACTTCATAACTATAATTTTGCTCACTGTTAAGAATCGTATTGTAAATATCTTATATGTAGGATATCTGATATGCCACCCCTGTGGAAGGGTCATTTGGCCCCTCCAAAGGGTCATGACCCACAGGTTAAGAACCACTGTCCCAGAGGAAGGATGCGGGTTAGCGGGAAGGATGGGCTACGGGAGTCACACAGGGCCTGGCATATGCTAGGCAAGTGCTCCATCACTGAGCCGCATACCTGCCGAAGAGAACAGAGTTGAAGTCTAGACCCACCTCTTAAGATCATTAAAACTGAGCAAGTGAATCACTGGCCCAACTCCTGGAACCAAAGCGAGCCCTTCTGTGATGCTGGGATGACCTCCACCGCCTCTCAAGCCCACTATGCCAGTTGTTAAGACATCCTACTCCCCAGCCAGCCACCATCTCATTTCCCTTCTCCCCAGCCCGGTGTTGGGAGATCCCAGCTGTTAGCATCTGAATAGCACATGGAACATGGAAGGGTGGGGGGCTTGTTTTCCTGGGTTGGTATGAGGGAAGAGCTTGAAAGAGTTTCTACACACATCCCTAGAAAAAGACGCCTCTCAAAGATGGTAACAGCTGCACCTTAAAAGGACTGAAGCTCACATTTCCCCGAGTAGAATGAAAATCTTTATGTTTTAAAGGGAATGATGATGTTTCTTGCTAAATCATATTCCCAAAACATGATGAGTTAAAAAAAAATAGTATTTGAGTAGGCATGGGAATTAGGATAGTCAAATTAAAGAATCTGTGAAACTTTTCCTCTCCTTACGGAAAATACCAGTACTGTTCATTGAGCTCTGGTGGACACTCCCACCTTCAGTACCTTATTTACAAATCCCGCTTTTGTTTGAAAGACCAGAGTCCTAGCCCAGGTTGGCATGGGGTCGTGAGAGCTGCCCTGCAGGGCCAGTCTGATCTGTGGCATGGCTTTCAGTGTCGATGGCCTTGGTTTGGGGGAAACCAAGGCATCTTGAGGATAAGAGGGGTCAAAGAAGAAGTGTCTCTGAGCTCACCTAAGTGTCTCTAAGATATGCCTGCTCTGGTGGCCCATGCTTGCCTCCCTTATGTCCTAATGGAGCCCCAGGGAGAAGTGAAGCCACCAGCTCATCCCCCAACCTGTCACCTTTAAGGCTGTCACCTCCAAAGTGTTAGGAAGAATCACTTACAAATGACAGTGTCAAGTAGAGGGACCTTCAGTCAGACTTTCTCCGGCACAGTTGAGGATACTTAGAAACAAAGAGAGGCTCAGAACAGGGCTCTGCTTCTGCTTCCTGTTCAAAGCCTGTGCACCTGGAGGCTTGGAGCACCCGGGTTTGAGTGCAGGGGAGAGCCATGCCCATCTGACATCCCTGACCCCTGACTCTGGAATGTGTGGGCACACCCACAAATTGTGCCCATCTTCTGTTCCCACAGCCTGCTACTTCTTAGCCATTTGGTTCAGTAGTTTAAAAAGGAGAGACAGTTCTAGCAACTCCACAGTAGCTCAGTTACCACCCTTAAGATGTCCAGCATCACCTATTCAAAATCTGCCTGTCACAGCTAGTGGCTTGTGGGGACATCTTTGGTCAACAGTGCCGGCACAGTTGTTCTTTTATCCCTACCCTGTGTCCCTCCTCCCAGGGCCAGAGCGTGTTAGCAGTGTGTATTGTCTGAGAAAATGAGGTGTGTCCGTTTCCACTCAGGAGCGGGAGTACCTGGCAATGTGTTGGACCCTCTCCCAGTGTGGGCAGTGTGGGCAGTGTTCAAACTCATCTGCAGTCCTTCCCTCAGAGCTGTTCCTGTAACACACACATACTAGCTGAAGCAATCACCTTTAGTCTGGGGCTCTCAGAACCCTGAGATCTGAGTGCTCTCATTTTCTTGTCCCCATAGAATGCAAACAAATGACTGAAATAGAAGGAAACATTACACCATGGCCATGTCACCCCAGCCAGGTACTCACGTTACACTTCCGTATTTCATCCCTGCTACTGAGCCCATGAAAGAGCTGAGGCATAGAGGAGCAAGCCTGATTGTCCAAAGTTGTGTAGCATTTGCTCAGACTAGACCCATTAACTGGTATCATAGTTTCATTTCTGTGGCTATGAAAAAAAAAAAAAATACCTGGACAGAAAGCAACCTAACTGGTCACATCACATCCACACTCAAGAACAGAGATCAAAGCAAACACACAAATGCTCAGTGCTCGGCTCACTCTCCTCACTCTCCTCACTCTCCTCACTCTTCTACGGTTCAGGACCCAAACCCAGGGAATGATGCTGCCCATAGAGGGCTGGGTTTTCCCACATCCATTAACACAATTAAACGCTCCCCCACTGACATGCCCACAAGCCAACCTCATCTAGACAGTCCCTCAATGATCCTAGCCTCCGGGGTGACTCTAAGGCTGCCTCAGGATTTCTGTAGCTACAGTGAAAAACCATGACTAGGGGAACTTGGGGAGAAAAGGGCTTATTTGGCTTATCCTTCCGAGTCACTATTCATCATTGAAGGAAGTCAGGGCGGGAACTCAAACAGGGCAGGAACCTGGAGGCAGGAGCTGATGCAGAGGCCATGGTGGGGTGCTGCTTATGGCTTGTTCCTTATGGCTTGCACGCCTGCTTTCTTATAGAAACAGGACCACCAGCCCAGGGATGGCACCACCCATAATAGGCTGGGGCCTTCCCCTATCAATCGCTAATTAAGAAAATACCCTACAGCTGGATCTTATGAAGACATTTTCTCCATTGAGTTTCCTCCTTTCTGATGACTCCAGCCTGGGCCAAGTTGACAATTAAAACTAACCATCACAACTGGGATATGACCGGTTCTGAGGGACACCGCTGTAGATGGCCTCTAAAAAGAGACACATTGCAGCTAAGGGGTAAACCATGGTGGTCTGGATGCCTCTAGGGCTTTCTCTGTGGCTGCCCCAACTCTGCAGCTAATGTCTCTAGCCAGCTCTCAAGTGTCATTATCACTGGCAGCCTGTGTAGCTGCCTTCAGGATCTCCTTAAGAAGCCCTAGATCCATCAGGTCTGTATCTTGGAGTTTCTGCTAAACAAGTAAAGAGATGACAATTCGGAGACTGGCATGTAGACACAGAGGAGAGGAGAACTGAAGCATTTGGCTGGGAGTCCAGGTGCCAATGCTGAGCAACAGGTGTTTCTGACTGTCATTTGCCATAATAATAGTGCCTGTCTCACCAATGGGCAGTAAATAAGAGAGCAGGTAAGCGTATGAAGGTAAGGTAGCTTTGTAGAGCGCCTGGTAATACTAGGTCCTCGGTAGAGGTCCCACAAGAAGTCATCGGAATATCCATTAGCGGGGAGATCTGTTAGAACGCACGGGCTATGCAGTGAAGTCAGGGGCCAGATTAAAATACATTTGGGTGAGAGTTGAAAGTGGAGAGGTATTCGTGGCATATTATTACATGAAACAAACAGTTACAAAACGCATAGTCCTAACACACACACACACACACACACACACACACACACACACACACAACAAGATCAAGGCTGCACAGATGTTTTCAAATGTGGTTTCCAGAGCAGCAGCTTCAGTGTACTAACCACCTGGGAATGTACGTTGCCAGGCCTCGTGCTGAGACTCCGGGGTGAGACTTGGTGGTCTGGTTCTAATAAGCCCTCCAAGGTGTTTTCCATGTTCTCAAGTTTGAGGCCGGCTGGCAGATATAACGTGTTAATAGTGGTTGCTGATGGCTCTTTAAAAATGGTGGTTAACTGTTCTTTTTATTTAATTTTATCTAAAAAAAAAAAAAAAAAAAAAGTATAATGCAGGGCTGGAGAGCGAGCTCAGTGGATAAGAGCACGGGCTGCTCTTCCAGAAGACCTGGGTTCGGTTACCATCGCCCACGTGGCAGCTCACAGGCATCTGCATCTCCAGTTCCAGGGGATCGGATGCTGCTTCTGGCTTCCTTGGGTTCCCTGTGCACGTGATGAACAGGCATTCATGCACGCAAAACTCTCATACACATAAAAAATAAATAAGATGAAAAACAAATCTTAAAAAAAAAGTTTTAGGGCAATAAGCAGATACTACATTATGGGGGTTTGGGAGGGGGCATACAAAAGATTTCCTTCCAGCAGTGGGGAGGCAGAGACGGGAGAATCTGTTTGAGTTTGAGGCTAGCCTGGTCTACATAGTTCCAGGCTAGCCAAGACTATACAGTCAGACCTTATCTTATCTTAACTTTTATTTTCCTTAAGGGGCTGGGGTTGTGGTTCCATTGGTAGAGTGCTTAGCTGGCATGGATAAAGCCCTGGCTCCAATCCCAGCACCACATAAACCAGGCGCACCACTGCCCACACGGAATCCCAGCATTGAGAAGGTAGATGGAGGCCGGAAGACTCAAAGTTCAAGGTCACCCTTAGCTACACAGCAAGTGCAAGGCCAGCCTGAGCCACATGGAACCCACCTCCAAAAAAAAAAAAAAAAAAAAAAAAAATCTCCAAAAATAAACCATATTCCAGATTTTTTATTTTCTCCTGACTACAACAGTATCACATGAATTTAGGTGCTCGCAGGGTAGGGGGGGTTCCAGGGCTGCTGCACTTGGAGTTCACCCTGATTCCTGACTCTGGCCTCTTCTGCAGGTGACTATTATCGGATACACGCTGGGCATTCCCGATGTCATCATGGGCATCACCTTCCTGGCGGCAGGCACAAGCGTTCCAGACTGCATGGCCAGCTTGATTGTGGCAAGGCAAGGTATGGATTGAGCCTTATCCCTGAACTACTCCCCGTCCCCCGGCAAACTCCCCTGCCTCCGCTGGCCAGGTTATGGCCCTTCTGACTGACAGATATCAAGCCCTGCCCAGAAGGAGACGGTAGCATCCAGAATTTGTCCTTTGTTAGATTCCCTTGCGGAGAGACTGCTCTTGCTGTGTCACTGTTCTGGAAAGTCATGGGCAAATATCTATCCACCCCATACAGGGCACTGATGACAGAGGAAAGAAATGGTTCTATCCAAGGCTAGCTTGGGGAGCCAGAGAGTTTACAGAGTGTGGGTAAGGGAGGGGAAACCTACAGGAACATGGGTAACCCCCAAACAGCTGCATACCGTAAAGGCCCACGTCACCATGGATGATGACATCCATGGAATGTACCCACCACTCTCTCCTGCATCTCAGCTGCACTTGCCCTGGTGGGGATGCTGGAGCCAATAGGCCTTGTGCAACCAGGAGGCAGGAGGGAGTGGTGGGTAGATTACCAGGCGAAGGTCTGATGATCCTCATCTCTCTCCTGCTAGGGAAGTCAACCCCATTGCCTTCTCTGTTGGCCCAACTGTCACTGTCTCGTTCTCCTCGGTTCATTGTTATGACTACAGGGCCGGAGTTATCTATGCTCCAGGATGGAGATGTGATGGTTGTGGTATGCCCAGGAAAAAAGCCACACTACAATAAATACTAAGATGGACCCCCCCTAGATCTTTCTGTGTTTTTCTATGTGGTTGTCTTAAAGGGGACATGTCCCGGGGTTGCCATATGAGATGGGAAAGGGCCTCAGCCTAGAAGTCATACAGCCAGTGGGCTGATTATATGTGTCCGTTTCTTTTGTGCTGCTGCAGCCAAATTACTCAACAAAAATAATCTCAGGGAAGAATGCTTTATCTTTGCTCGTGGTTTCCAGAGAGCTTAGCCTATCATAGCTGGGACTGCAGGGGTCAGCCAGGACTGCAGGGTTCAGCGCAGCACCAGGCATGGGTGGTAGTGAGCGTTCAGGGTCCGGAACCAGCGACCTACTTCCACAAGTTAGAGTCCACTTCCGGCAGCTCCACAGTGCCCCCAGATAGTGCCACCATCTGAGGAACAAGTCTTCAGAACAGGAGCCTGCTGGGAACATCTTAGCTTTAGGTCTCAGCAAATGAGAGCCATGTCTGTCTCTTGCAGGCGTCATGGGAATCCTAGACACCGGCTCTTTCTGTTCTTCCGAATTCTAGATGTGAAGTGTTTCACTTTGTATATGGGTTTTCTTTGGGGTTTATGAGGCAACCCAGGTTGAACAAGATGGAGAGCGACTCCACAGTCAGTCCTTGATGGCAAAACCAAAGAGCTGCTAAGTCTGGCCTTTCATTCTCTGCTCCTCTCTACCAAGGAGACAGTATCCCGGAGTGGGCTAGAGCCGTTGTTCTTGATAGGCAAGAGTTTGAAAGTCCATGAGAGGAAAAGGCAGAAAAGCAAGAATTACCTCAGGAGACTAGAGAAGAGGGCAAGCCAGGGAGAAAAGTTGGCTCTAGAAAGAAAGGCACGTCTCTGCAAGAGATGCAAAAACCAAGAAGATGACGTGAAGAGCCGCAGTGTGAGACCCTGTTGGGTGGTAGTCAGCCAGGTGCCTGGCAGAGAGCATTAGAGGCCGCCGGGAGCTGAGGGGAAGGGAAGTTAATTGGGTGACCTTTGACATTAGTATGTTTGCTTCCTAGGGCAGCTCAACACAACTGAACTTCCCTGAAACCTGGAGCCTTTGTGCCTGTGGGACCTACTCACTTTTCACTCTGTGGGAAGGGCCCACTTGACTCCCCGTGCAAACTGCAGCTCTCAGGCTTCCTCAGTAGCTGTGCCCCTGCAGGCTCTGTTTCTGTGTTAGAGGCTCTGTGTTTCTGCAGGCATGCTCCTTATGAGAACAGCTGCCTCTGGCTGAGAGCCCACTGACTTCTGTGTAACTTTATTTACTGGCATCTATAAAAATCCTAAATTTGGTGGCAGTCAGAGGCTCTGGGTGGGCATGAGTTGGAGGCAGGGTGGAGACCCTACAGTGAGTGATAAGAAAGCTAAATGTGGGGAGGAGGGGGCAGGGACTTGAGGAAATTCAGTCACATGAACCTGAGGAAAGTCAGTCTCTTGTACTCCACAGCACTTAGGTGCTGAAGTCACCCCTAGGCGGGCACTGGGGAAAGACAACAAGGCAAAAGGGTGCTTGGTTTAGACACTGGGTGGCAGGAAGTATTGCAGTACTAGATGCTTCGGAGTTTGGGTGGTCCCAGTCGGTTCAGTGAAGGGTCTGATTTAGGAACGAGGGACAAAGGGTTCTATAGTAGGACGCCGTCTCCCAGGAGCTACAATGGAAGAAATGTGATTGTGGCCAAGGCTTGGGGTGCAAAGCTGTCGTAAGGTGACGTGATCGACAGAACCCAGTCGACATGGCTTGGGGTCCGGAGACCCGTTCAGAGTCAGCCGTGTGAAGCAAGAGATCGCAGAGGTGCTCTGACAGGGGCTTCTACACCAGGCCTCCCTACAGGCTCCCTACAGACTGAAGAGTAGCCTGGCCAGTATTGACGGGGGCACTCCCAATAGATCCAGACCCTCAGGGCCCTAAGCTGCCAAGATCCTGACTGGGGAGGGAGAGGCATGTACTGCAGGTCCTCAGAGGCTAGCAGGGAGAATGAAGGAGTGGCCTGGCACACCCAAGGGTGGTGAGGAGACTCCCTGGGTGCTGGATGGACTTGCTGATGAATGTCACAGCTGCCAAAGTGATGTTATGTTTTTAGACATTCGTGTTGCAGGCTTGTTCCTTCTGCCCACGTTTGTGGGTGCCAAGACACAACGTCAGCATTCAGCCAACACGAGTCTTTTCTTAAAAGTTGTTCTAATTCCTCAAGAGAGGAAGTGCCTCGGCTGTATGACCAACAGGATCTTGGGACAGTGGGGCAGGAAGGGGAGCAATGGCCTCTGATTGGAAAGAGAGAGCCTGCCCTGTGGAAACCTCCAGAATGTGTGATTTTAGGCCCTGTGGTCCCAGATAAGGTCCCGGATGCTACTGTCTAGGCACAAATATTCATCATGACCTGGTGGAAAGGGTGCTGCACTAGCTTCCTGAGACCGAGCCTCTAGCAAAGTGTTAACCCTTGCAGACCTGCCATGTGAGAGTGGTGGTCCCACCCAAACCCAGCAGAGCTGGGAGAACTAAATGAGGCAGAGCTGAGGGAAGGCCCTTGAGAATGGCAGCTAACAAACCTGATAGGAGGGAGCCTGTGTTCTTTTGCTAGACTAGGTGGGTATTTACTTCTCAGATTTCTAAAGCCTGGAAAGTGGAGGCCAAGGTGTGGGTAGAGCTGTGGCCTTTGTAGCTGTGAGGGAGAATCCTCTTCCTCTCCCAGCTCTACCAGGCTGGCTGGACCAAAGCTCTGCCTAAGGCCTTCATCATAACCCATTGCCTCCAAATAAGGTCACATCTGAAGCACTGGGGTTAGAACTTCCAAATATGGCTTTAACCTACAGAAGGGCCCTTTAGGTCTCATGAAAAGAGGGGATCTTAGATCTCACAGAAAATTGAGGGTCCATGAAGAACTCCTCATCCCTCTAACGGCCCTGATAGAGGAGTTTGGAGAGGGATGAGGGCTCCTTGAAGCCATCTCCTGATGGAAGGCATGTGTTGCTTATCCCCTAGGACTTGGAGACATGGCAGTCTCTAACACCATCGGCAGCAATGTGTTTGACATCCTCGTGGGACTTGGCATCCCGTGGGGCCTGCAGACCATGGTTATTAATTATGGATCCACTGTAAGTCCTGCGACTTCCTAAAGAAGGACATAGGTATATTTCAGAGGAAGGGATAATACCCACCCAGTGCCAGCTTGGAGTCCGGGGACATGAGCTCCCCTTTTATCCTTAGCAGCCACTTTCTTTGATGGCTTCCAGAACAGCCTCGTCACGTCTGCAGGAGGCAGCCCATGGTTGCTACATGCTTGTCGGCATCTCTTCCTCTTGCCCAAACCCACTAGCACCTGTCCCCATCCTGGGCCACTTCCTGATGAACCAAGTGCAGACTTGCGCCCGTGCCTTCCTCTTTGTTACGAGGTCCTGGCCGTTCCTGCATGCTCATCAGCGGGATCCCTGTGTTCCCCAAAGGGGAGAAGGCGGGGCTTCTGGAATAGACTGGCGGAGCAACTCAGAGATTTGTGGCCTGTGTGCTTCACTTTCCAGGTTAAGATCAACAGCCGGGGTCTGGTCTATTCCGTGGTGCTGCTGCTGGGCTCCGTCGCTCTCACTGTGAGTTTTTACTGCTTCGCTGTACACTTTCATTCAGTTCAGCCTGGCTGTGCACGCCTCGCTATTACTTGCCCACTACGGTGAGGGCACAGCCGAGGACATTTATCTATTCAGAGATAACCCAAAATCTATTTCTTTTTACTGAGATCAACTTCAGCCACCGTAGTACGTCATCCTAAGCAAATGAGATGTGACCCAGGGACCTGGGAGATGAGCTTGGTCGGTTAGGGCCAGACCAAGGGCCTGAGTTTGAGTCCCAGAACCCACATACTTAAAAGAAGGGGTCATAATGAGACACACTTGTAATTCCAGTGCAGGGAAAGCAGGGCCAGGCAGGTCCTCAGGGGCTGGCCACCCAAGCAAGCCAGATTAGAATGTTCCAGGTTCAGTGAGAGACTCTACCTCCAAAAGAAGGTAAATAATGTTTGAGGAGTGGCAGCCATGAGTGTCCTCCGGCCTCCACATATACACACATACATGTGTCTGTGCACCCACACATGTGCACACACACACGAATATATCGCTAGGGCTGTCGTGTTAGGTGGTTACATTTCATCCCTCTCTGACGAGACCAGTGAGAGAGAAACTCTCCTCACCTGCTGAGCTGACAAATGGGGACATGGCAGTCCTTGGGACAACATGAAATGACAGTGAGGTCCTCCCCACTCTTGTGCATAGACCTGTGCTGTGCATTTTATACCTATGGTATTTTATTCAAGCCTCGCCACCCCTGATGAGGAAGGCACCATTATCCTCATTTTGCAGAAGAAATCATGGCTCGGGAGTTAGACAAAATTGTGGTTTGAAGCCAGGTTTCTCTGTCTTTACAATGCTCTGTGCTCAAGGAAATAGCTATGGTCCAGCCCAGGGATGCTTTGATTCAGGGATGAGAGTGAGGGCAGTTGGCAGGGGTTGGGGGAGCTTGTTGCCCTAACATATGCACAAAAAAAAGGGGGCCCAAGCAGAAGTTTACCCAGAATGGTTCAAATGAGCCTGGGAAATCTGCTAAAGAGAAACGATTATGGTGCCAAGTTCTAAGGCAAAGGGGAAGATCTGGTTTCCTTAGAGAAGGAACATGCTGCACTCTGAGGAAGTAGCCTATCTCCTAGGAGAGGGCCAGTCCATGAGAGTGGCCACTGCGATCTGACCGTGTCATGGGACAAGTCTCACAGTCTAGTCTCAACTGGACCAGAATCTTGTCTACATTTAATAGAAAGTTCTGGACTCCAAGGTGTTATTGCTTGGTAAAGAAAAAAAAAAAAGCCTTTGGGTCTCTCAGCCCACCAAGCCTAGCTCTCTCCCTATCCACCCCCTCCATCTCCTCCCAGGTCCTTGGCATCCACCTCAACAAATGGCGCCTGGACCGGAAGCTGGGCATCTACGTGTTGGTCCTCTATGCCATCTTCCTGTGCTTCTCCATAATGATAGAGTTTAATGTCTTCACCTTCGTCAACTTGCCCATGTGCAGAGAAGACGACTAAAGCTGAGCTGCTGCCCGGGAAACTGCTGCGGCCACCATGACGCTGGCGTCCTCTCTCTCTCCTTCTCCACACAGGTCTCTCCCGCCTTGGCAGCAGCTGTCAATTCTTTCATGAGCTGGAAGGAAGGGCCACCCTGGGCTTTGTCTGATCATGGTCCAGGCTGCTAGGCATCCGTCCCTGCACGGCAGGGTCCAGCCATTGTCTGAGCAGCTCCACAGACTCTTGGCTGCCAGCTTCAGAGATGCGTTGTGTCTCTTCTCTCTTGCACACTTTAGGCAAAAGGACTTCAGGGTGCTGTTTGTATTTCTGTTACATGGGCAGTCTCGGAAGTGAGTCAGTCAGTGAACAGGAGGTAGCCTAGATGAGTGCAAAGTAGGATGGCCAGTATCACCTCTGGGCCTGGAGAAGGCAGATTGTGTTAACATGAGCATCAACTCTGCTGGAAACACTGGAAATGTGAAAGAGTCAAGGTGTCAACCTGCAGGAGCTTGAGAGCACTGCAGTTATAGGAAAAAATAGGAAGAGTGGAAACATGATTTCCCAGTAGGAGAGAGAGAAAGCAAGCAAATACTGTTATCCTTTTTTTTATTGACACATTCAAAACAAATGAGCAATGAAATATTAAAAATAAAACATCACATATAGATCATCATACTTGAAGAATATCATTCCACACAAAAGGATCATTGACAGGGACCAAAAAAGGTTACCCTTGGAGAAAAATGAATCCTCTGTGTGTCATCCCATGCTGGCTCCAAGACAATTTGGTTTGGAATATAGAAAAAGGTGGAAGACTACACAGAAACAGGTGCTAACTCAAGAGACACAGGGGGAAATGTAGTCATAGCTACACATGTCAGACCTTAGGAGGCCATGCCCTGTCCTGTCAGGTTTGTAACTTGTCTGCTAATGCTCTGCTCTCAAAACCACCCCCACTGAAAGACACAATTGTTTATATGTCCAACCAGTTGCAGAAGTGATGGTTAATGACAAAAGGAAAGTGTCGGCAGATGCCTCTCTCTGGTTAGCTGAAGCCAAGTGTGAAAAGCATATCTTAGGGTTTGTAGAGCTAAGTTTATTCAACTTCAGAGTCTGCTACAGCAAGCCAGGCCAGGGATGGGTGATGGACCCAAACACAGGAAAGCATGAAGCAATGTTTGACTGCTTCATAGCTCTGAAATCTTCACGTAACAGATTCCTGACTATAAACCATTCCTGGGGAAAATGAGAAAGCACAAATTAATTTTATATAGTGAGGTTTTTATTTTTTTAATGTTTCTATTGCAAAAGTCTATCAGATCTGATGCACTTTGAATACTGAGATATTTTGCACAGTGGAAGGTGTGGGGATGACCCAGGGTAATGAGAGAAGGGATTTTAGTGATTTTTAACCGTGGTGGCTACTGTAAACCCAGCAGCTGAGGACGTCTGGGCTCACGGGGGAATCTGTAGCAAGGCTCTCTGAATGTCAGGGGACAAAGCGTTCAAGCTTCTGTTCCTTAAGTTCCCTTAAGCAGAACTATGATGAGACCTTGCTCCCATCACCAGCCTTCTCTTCGGGGTTCACATCAGTATTAGTAGCTTGACTGAGTCAAGACTTTGCTTTTGGTCTATCCGAATAAACTCAGTGATCTTCAGAGTAAGGCAGTGTAATTTCCCTTAAAAAGAATAGCTAAGCCCGGGGGAAGGAACCTGAAGCTGCCTCAATATAAACTCAGCTGCAAGAGGCTTCAGAATTGATCTATACCCCAGTAGCTCATACAACACACACACACACACACATGCGCGCGCGCACCTTTTTCACAGGCGCATGCTAGCTCTGAGTGCTCCTGTCTACCCTTTGAACTCCTAACTTCTCTGTGGCATGGATTATTCTCATTTCATCAGCAATTGATATCACGTGGTCCCAGTTTAGCTTCAGAATGTAGCAGAGCCAAGGCCCAAAGTACCCATCACCCATCCTGATTTGGCTAATGCAACAGATTGCCCAGCCTGGCACAGTGACATGAATGTGACTTTGCCCTGAGTTGGGGATAGGAATCTTAATTTCTTGGGTCAAAACCCCCTCGGAATATTTTATTTACCCAGACATTTTTCAAATCACATTCTAATACCTGTCCTTGTTGGATGTCCCTGTCGTTTTCCTGAAAAAGTCCAAACCCTATCTTTTTTTTTTTTTTTTTAGATGTTATTAAGGCACAAGCTACAGCCTTTGAGGGTCCACACTGTGTTTGAGTCTCTGAGTCCTTGCGTAGATTTCAGAAAACATCCCCGTTGCCTTCCCCCACCCTCGGAATCTGCTGGAAGCTATAAAGTGTCTCATAACTGCATTAGAACCTGAAAATTGTACTTTCAGTATGTTGTGGGGCATGCCTCTTGCTAGTTTTCTTTGGACTATAATGTGCCAATGATCCTCAAAGGCTTTGGGCATCTCTCATATCTAGGAAGCTATAGCTTGAAAGTGAAAAGTTCTCTGTTTTTAACTAAATCTTTTTCCTCGTGAGTTTAAAGATTTGTTTGACAATATAGGCCTTCATTTTTTAAAATATGCTTCCATTAGTATACAGGACTACTTTCTTTGTGTTATCACTAAAGCTAAATTAGCATGGTGTAATTACTTCTGCTACAAAAAAAAAAAAACCCCAACAGTTAAAAAATATACATATATATGTATGTATGTATGTATGTATGTATATATATATGCTTAGCTTATCTCTGCAGAGGCAGAAAAATGAGAGCAAATGATGTGTTCTAATGGAAGATGTCTGCCTCTTTCCTGGTCCGTCTCCTCTCTGAATCCTTTATATGACTGAGGTAGGGCAGCCTGTGGACAGAGACAAGGGGGACTAAGAGGAGCTTGGACCATTCCTCTGGGGAAGAGCGTGAAAGAAGGCCATCTTAGCACAGGAGGCATCTCTCCGTGGCATCTCCACTCCTTTGGGTGTGAAATTGGGCTGCCCTTGTCCCGTACCAGCTCAGTAGCCTCCTAGTCCACCTTGGCTTGTTTCTCCTGGAGGTCAGCAGTGAATAGCAAACACCTTTTACCCACCAAGCTGCTGATGACACCTATTTCAACCCTGCCTGGGCCGCTGGGGTGGAGGGAAGGCTTGGTCTTCTCTTCTCCACCTGCCTTTCCCTCCCCTGTAAATTACCTTTTTAAGTGGCTGGAAAAGACGGCTGTGCTCTTGGTAAGATGCTGAAGGAACAAAGAACTTGCTGGATAGAGTTAAGATCGCTAGGAGAGTGCATCCGGCAGCCAGGCTGTAAATACTTGCCAGAGATGCTGACTGGCTCCCAACACAATCTCCATCCTCCTCTGGGGGCAGGGAGCAGATGTGCCCAGAACACCTGGGGATGGCTCGGATGCCATGTTGTGTCCACAGAAACCACTGGGAGAATTTGAAAACACTCTCTGGCTAACTCTTGAGTGACAGTAAGTCCTGATTCCTGCCAGCTGACTACCTAAAGCCCTGCCCCCTGAGCCCAGCTCCCTCTTTTCACCACATGGAGTCACTCAAAGGACACCTGCTTTCTCCATGTGTGAACGCTTGGCCTTGGTCCTCTGGTCTCTGCAGCTTGTCACGTCCCATGAGCCCGTCAAGGGTCATACCCCACGAGGCTTCCTCAAAGTCTAGAGGCGGGGCTTTTCCTGTTTTTCTGGGAAACTCTTCCCATTGTCGGTTATGTGGGCACAGGAGAGAGATTTTCATGGGCTCTACCCAAACAGCAGAGAAGAGGGGCCTCTGTGAAACACAGCTAGCTCTCTTCCAACCTTGCTAGCAAAGGCATGTTCCCAGGGCACAGCCAGCAGGGGTGTCCAATGTTTGGATTCTCTGAGCCAGGTCATCCACAAAGTTCACATACATGAACCATGCAATCACTTTACCAAATGTGTGTGTATGTGTATATATATATATAAATATATATAATGTCTGTATATATAGTACACAAATATATATATATATACATATGTATGTATATATATTATGTATTCCCCCCCAAAAAAAACTCATAATGTTTTAAGTAAGTTTACAATTTAATGTGGCCCATAGGCGGTCTGTTGGACACTCCTGATGGTTACTTTCTGATAAAAGCAGCCTAACCTGGTAGGTGCTTCTTGGGACAATGTACCTTTGTCACCATGTCACCCAATAAATGCAAACGCATGCCTTCATGCAGCTGGGGAGAGGGGTACTTCTCCCCACCTTTCCCACCAGGATGGGCTATCATTTTAGGGAAGCCAGCTGAGCGGTCTAGGAGCTTTGGTTAGCTTATGGAGGGGTTAAACATTCGAGCTTTTCAGTTTCCGTGCCCCTCTGCTGAGTCCTCCAATACCCCCCCACACCCACACAGGCCCTGCTAGGGAGTCAGGGCTCCACTTTGGGGTACCTCTCACCCTGTGTTTCTAATCTACCCTACGGCTCCCTGTCCAGTTGACCAAGCTGTATAACTTCCTCCCACTGCCTAAGCAGGGGCTGAGGTCAAGTCTCCTCTTTTCTGTCCTGGTGTACACCTGGGGGCGGCTCAGGAAAGCATCTAAGAGCTGGAAACAGTCTGCTTCTGAGACGGTCAAGGCTGTGGCTCTGTGGCTTTTCTCCCCGTTACATTTACAGAGCTGGGACTTGCCTACTCCTTGCTAAAAAGCCCCAGGATGGATGGCAGCATGACCCACACCTCTTCCCATAGTACTGCCGTTAGTCAAGCAGTGGCTACTTAGGCACCATGCTGGTTGGGGCTTTTCCATGCACGAGTTCGAGAAAATCCTTAATCCTGGAGAGGATACGGGCTTTCCCTATCCCACCCTTAGAAAACAAGTCTGTTTGTTGTTGCTGTTGTTAGCTATTAATAGAACTGTCCATGTGGCTTTTGGTTTGGTGTGATCAGCTTCTGTGTACTAAGGAAGGGTCCAAGATGACACTCACCCCTCATTACTCTAGAATTCCCAACAGGGAAGTTTGGGTGTCCATTCCAGAGGAAACACAATCCTCTTCCAAAAGGCGGCCTTTCCTCCTTCTGAACATGACAGAAAAACATGAGACAAGGTCACCCTGTTCCTCAAGTAGAGTGCGCTGAGGGTGGGTTCTGGCTGCTGGGTGTCCTGCCTCGACCTAAGCCGCTACCCCTCTAAACTGTGGACCCCGTGACATCTTCCATCTGACCTGCACCAGGTTCACTTGGGGACCCGGCGGACAAAGCCAAAGACTGAGCCACTATGGCTG